GTTTCTCACGAAGATTTTCTATCCCTTAATACTCTCCTTAGCTTTTGTAATGCATCTTTGCCTATGCCTATGCGTCTTCGGATTTCAGTGTCTCCTTTTCCGTGCTCTGTTAGAACACTTCCCAGATATTTTTTAATAAGTCCGGCGAGGAGACATATCCTACGCCCTTGTTTTGTACATAGTGGGCATCCGTTTATCTAGCACCGTTTGGTGAACATTCAGTCCTTAAGGCAGGGGTCGGCAACTTAAGACATGCGTGCCGCACATGGCACGCCAAGCAATTTCCAATGGCACGCAGCCGCAGATGACATCACGAAATCCGATCCAATAACTAGTATAACGCAAAGAAGATATTTAACTGTTTCAGTTTTAATATATACTAAAATATATATATACTATATATTACTATATAAAATATATTATAGAACAGGTATATTGATTTTGACTTGTCTAAAAATACGTATGCTGTTGGCACACTGAATGATTTTAAAACCCTAAGTCGGCATATAGTTAGCAAAAGTTTGCTGACCCCCTGCTTTAGGAGTGAAACTGGAGCGACCTCTCCAGAGCGCAGTCATGGGCAATGGTATATATGGGCCGTGCGCTTCCGGGACTGCATGCACTCCATCTTGGTCCAAATGAATACAGTGGAATTACATTTGATGACGACTTGGCTGCAGAAGTTGCTGGAAAATTGTCAATGTTAACAGCCAACCACCTTCAAGCCTCCAATCCGGGTTTTCTGTCCGGATTTACTTCCATAGCCTTTTCGGTGTTTGGATATGACTGCATGACAGAGGAGTTTTAAAAGCGGAGTTTTCTTTCCTCTAGATGGACTATCTTCGTGGGCTGTCGAGCTGCATCTACCCGAATTTGCTCCATTCTTTATTTGTAAAGTCAAAACATTAAGAAACAAGAATGTTTCGCTAGATACAAAGAAAAGTGCTGAATTGCTCTTTAATATCACTCCTCCTATATAGCAGTGAATGCAAGGTAATTTCATCACATATGAAAACAAGCCTTGTGACAACTGATATCATCCTACAGAAGAATTCTGAGAATACTATGGATGGAACATAAAAGAGCAATGAAGATGTAAAAAAATCAAAACATTCGAATCAGAAAGCGTTGAAATTTATAGGACACATAATGAGGAAAGAGGGCTTGGAGAATTTGACGCTAACAGGGCATATTGAAGGCAAGTGAGACAAGTGGAATCATCGGGTTACTCTCCTCATAAGCTTGTTTACATTTACAGGATTAGAGGGAGGGATAGTAAGGAGATACACATTAACAAGCTTAAAGTTAAAAAGGATAGGAAGTTGTGGTGAGCCATGATCATCTACCTAACAAGTTTGTGTAAATTGATGTCAGAACAGAGATTGGGAGCGATAGTAAGGAGACAAACATTGAAAAATTTGGAGCTAAAATGAATAGGAAGTTGTGGAGAGCCATGATCACCTACTGAACGAGTTTGTGTAAATGGATGTCAGAACAGAGATTGGGAGCGATAGTAAGGAGACAAACATTGAAAAATTTGGAGCTAAAATGAATAGGAAGTTGTGGAGAGCTATGATCACCTACTGAACGAGTTTGTGTAAATGGATGTCAGAACAGAGATTGGGAGCGATAGTAAGGAGACAAACATTGAAAAACTTACAGCTAAAATGGATAGGAAGTTGTGGAGAGCCATGATCATTTACCCAACCAGTTTGTGTAAATGGATGTTAGGACAGAGATTGGGAGTTGCAGAAAGGAGACAAATATTGCGTAGGGCTAAAATGGATAAGCAGGATGTAGGAAGCAATGGGGATATACTAAGCGTATCTTAGATGCGGAGCAAGGCCACGGAAGTATGGAGCGCCCAGTGAAGATTGAACTCGCTACTCAGTCGTAATTAATATAGCAAGACAAAATTGTTAACCATTACACCACAACGAAGTGACCAATGTGGGGGAAACTCTTTTTAACACGTTCGCTACCACACGATCCACAGGAGTGTCGTCGTGTCTGCAAGGCCCACACATCCATTCCATAGGTCTTTTTCCACTTGCTTTTCTAAGAGGGTTATTACGAGTGGGATGCTATGACTGATTACCTATAAGATCATGGTACACCAAAACCACATTTCTTCCCCACTCCAAAAAAAATTAGATATGTTTTATTTTTTGTCGTTTATTTCGTTTTAGTTTTGGAACGTCTACTGTGTTTTTGTTGTGTTTTTTTTTTTCTTTTGTCATTTTTAAAAAAAATTATATACACAGAGTTTTATCAAGCATTCGTGTGAAACTTCAGGTTGAAAAATGGACTCAGGTACCGAACGACATACCGTTGGGTCGTGCGTAATAAATACTACCTATGATACCCTTGCCTCATATATGAAACAATGTTAAAACATATATAGTGTTGGGACAACAGGAAATAAGGATTAGAAGCCAATGTGTTAATCCACCAAATTTTACCAGGTTATTAGTGAATCACAGAATGTACCCCACCTATAAAGAAGAAAGAATAAATTAATTACCCACAAAGTGAATCTTCCATGCAAACACATTTTAATATAATTTCTGTAATGAAAATTAATTAGTAATTAGTAATTGGTAATAATGGGCGAAAAATATTTGTAGATAATAATTGGTGGTATTAAAAGTAATTTCTATGATTCAGGAAAATTACAGAGTTAATAAATTCATTATTAATAATTAATTGTTAAATAAACGTTTTTAATTTGTCGTATTTAGTGTCCATCGATTCGGTTTTAAAATATGGTTAATTTTTCAGATATTCATTCCACTACGCCAATCTTGTTCTTTTGGAGATAGAACTAACTCTCTTTCAGTGGATTTAGATCATATAAATCAGCAGCAAAGATGTTTTTCTTGATTATGAAACAATAAATATTAATAAAAAAATGAATCCAAAAAGGCAGATACATAAAGTAATAGCAGTCAAATCTTTAATTTTTTTTTGCATACCCTGCTTTTGTAATTGATCAATGGTTTAGTATATCATGTGTATTTCAGAATTGCAAATGTTAGTCTTTTTTTAATGAATATAATTCCTGTAAGTGAAACTGTTTTTCTTATTTAGCTAAGTGCTGATTTACAGGAATGAATTTCACTGAAAATGTAGTAGCTCTAGTTCTAAAAGAGCTAAATTGACAAATCAGCTTGAAAATGAATCCAAAAAGGCAGATGCATAAATAGCAGTGAAATCTTTAATTTTGTTGTTATTAACATTATTAATTTGACATATTTTTTAGTATTCTTTGATTCAGTTTTAAAACATGGTTAATTTTTATAGATATTTGCTTCCATGTGTCTTTACAAAGTGTGAAATTATGTCAAAAACCATGGATTGAAATCAGAGTTTCCAATTCTGTTCTTTTCGAGATAGACCTAAATTTTTTTCAGTGGATTTACATCTTCGAAATCAGCATCAAGCTGCCTTTCTTATGAAATAATTACAAAAAAAATGAGCTAAATTCACTGATAAAACAACTCTCGTAGAACATTTGGACTTGATGGCATCTCTACAATAATCCTTATGTACTTCTGCTCCTGGCTCACAAATTTAAATGAAATGTCAATTGTTACATTCTGTCTTCTCAATTCCTGTTCTTTTATTGTTACCCCTCTTTAATAGCGTTTTTCTTATATTCTCTAACACTCAGTAACCTCATTGTGTCTTACTGAATTTATTGTCTTGTTTGGGGTGAAATGATAAAAAAATCTACATTGGTATTTGTGGTGTAATTCAACAATGGTTTCATTTATCAATCATTTTGGAGTGAAAAATAATTCTAGCTTTAATTCGTTTCAAACTTAGGGGGTTAAAGACCCCCCCAAGTTTGAAACAACTTTGACCCCTTTTTTTATATTAGGGAGTGGAAATAGCACTTATTCTAGATTTTCGAAAAGTTGCAATTGTTATAGCAAAAACACTGCCAATTGGCGTCACCTGACCAAGGGAGCCAATTTTAGTACAGCTCCCACTTTAAAATATTACCAATTTATTAACCATTTATTCAAAGTGGTAATTATTTATCCAGGGACTTGTTTTGGTAAACACCGCCTGTACAATTAATCAATTGTTTATCATATCATTTGTAATTCATGTCCTCATATTTGTCGCCATATTTATCACAACGTTTCGGCCTTTCAGTATCTGTCTATATATATGGCGACAAAGATGAGGACAATAGCCCGATTAATGTAAATAATGTACATAATACCTCATCCCAGAAATATAGACAGATACTGAATGGCCGAAACGTTGTAATAAATATGGCGACAAAGATGCGGACAATAGTCCGATTAATGTAAATAATGTACATAATACCTCATCTCAGAAATATAGATAGATACTGAAGTGCCGAAACGTTGTAATAAATATGGCAACAAAAATGAGGACAATAGTCCGAATAATGTAAATAATGTACATAATACCTCATCTCAGAAATATAGACAGATACTGAATGGCCGAAACTTTGTAATAAATATGGCGACAAAAATGAGGACAATAGTCCGAATAATGTAAATAATGTACATAATACTTCATCTCAGAAATATAGACAGACAAACTGATTTAATAAAAGAGTAAAAGTGGGGGCAAAAATTGATAGCGAGAAGCAATGTTATAGAATGAAAGTTACTGAGCGATAAAAAGACAACTCGACAAATAATTGTATATTGGGGATAACGAAAACTGTGGCTTATGAAAAAAAATGTCTGGAGAGAATAGTTTCGATTTAGTGGAGGGATGGATTCTGCTTCTGATGTTTGCAATTTGGTGTTGTTTTCCTGATACGGAATGGAGTTGGAATCGTAATTCCTGAAACAGCGATCGCACTTTGATGAGTTCCGGATGCCGTTCGTGACAGGTGAAATATTCCTGATTGCCAAATAGCTTCGAAATCTTTACAATGATGAAGATGCAGAGGTGAAGGTGGTGCACTGCAGGTGAAGGACGAGAAGAGGTGATGCAAAGTGTATAAATTGTTAGACAGATTGGAAAAAGAAAGAAGGAAAGAATGCAGAAGAAAGAAAGAAAGAAAGAAAGAAAGAAAGAAAGGAGACAGTGGAAAGAGAATCGTGAGGAGAGGAGAGATGTGAAAAGAAAAACACAATGACGGCACGAAAAGGAAAGAAAGAGGGCGAGGAAAGAAATGACGATGGATAGAAAGACAAAAGATGGAAAGAAAACGAAAATACAGCAAAATAAAGAAAAAAAGGGAAAGAAGGAAGAAAATGAAAGAAGATAAGATAAAGAAACGAGGAAAATATAAAGAAAAAGGAAAAAGATATAAAATGAATGAAGACGAAACGAAATAATGGAACAGGAAAAAGAATGAAAAGTATAAAGGCATAAGAAAGAAAGAAAGAAAGAAAGAAAGAAAGAAAGAAAGAGAAAGAAAGAAAGAAAGAAAGAAAGAAAGAAAGAAAGAAAGAGGACAAAAGAAGGAAAGAAAGATAAGCAGAATGAAAAGTATAAAGGCATAAGAAAGAAAGAAAGAAAGAAAGAAAGAAGGAAATAAATAAATAAAGAAAGAAAGAAAGAAAGAAAGAAAGAAAGAAAGAAAGAAAGAGAGAGAAAGAAAGAAAGAAAGAAAGGGGACAAAAGAAGGAAAAAAAATAAGCAGAATGAAAACTTTTGTAAATGACAGTGGGAGATAATTTAAAAAATCGAAGAAAGAAAAAATAAAAAAGTAAGAAACAAAGAATGAAAAAAGAAATAAAAGTAATTAAAAAGCAGGGCAAGGAATGTGGAAAAGTAAATGGGAGATAATTTAAGAAAGAAAGAAAGAAAGAAAGAAAGAAAGAAAGACAGACAGACAGACAGACAGACAGACAGACAATGAAAACGTCTTTTAAATTTAAGGTTATAGAAAAGAAGAATAAAAGCAAAAAAAGCTAAGGGTAGAAATAACGGCACATAAAAACATGAAAGAAAGAAAGAAAGAGAAAGAGAAAGAAAGAAAGAAAGAAAGAAAGAAAGAAAGAAAAAAAGAGAAAGAGAAAGAAAGAAAGAAAGAAAGAAAGAAAGAAAGAAAGAAAGAAAGAAAACGAAAACGTCTTTTAAATTTAAGGTTAAAGAAAAGAAGAATAAATGCAAAAAAAAGCTAAGGGTAGAAATAACGGCACATAAATAAATACATGAATGAAAGAAAGAAAGAAAGAAAGAAAGAAAGAAACCGAAATAAAATGTTCTCGGGATATTTCTGTTTTAAATGTAAAACGGTTGACTTCGCGTCATTTATTTTTATTCATTCTTTGGCGGAAAATTTACGTCTTCAAAAGAATTTTTTTTTTATCTTTTAAGACTTTTTTAAAACTTTTTTTCTCTCTCTGCAATCAGGATGCATTGAAAAGACCAGTTTGTCTTGTCAATCAGCACGTATTGTTTCTAAGCATGCGCGCCAAAAACAAAATGGAGAATACAGTGTTACCAAAAGGATTTTTAAAAAAATGAATAGTTTTCTTTTTTTCACATCGCTAACCAAAGTAAAAAGACTGTAACACGGTTAAAAAAATAAATAGACAGAAAAAATCAACATGCATTCTCGCGGATGGCACAATAAAGCCATACTTATATTTAATATGCATCGTTCAATGGATTGCAAGTAGTGAAGTTTCAAAATGAAGCCTGTGAGAAAAACAGAAAGAAGAAAAATATAATGCCAGCAGTTAAAAATCAAGCTTATATTCAATATTTAAATTAAAAAAAAAAAGTTAAATGATGCAGAAAAGAAAATGTCAATAAATATGAATATAATAACCTGGTTTCTTTTGATATTATGACATTTTACGGTCTAGTTTGTTTCAAGTAAAAGAAAATTGTTGCAGATTTTAAAATATAGTTTATCCAATACTTTATGGATAAGATTATTTTCAACTTTGTTGTTTTAGCACGGCGTTTCGGCTATCGTGTTGTTTTGCCTTCCTCAAATGTAGAGTGTATCTCGTAAGGTAGCTGTCAAGTCTATACAGGCTGTCCATAAATTATCAGCACAATTTTAAAAATTCATAGAAATTGAAAAAAAAGAAGGTGAATCTACAGGGTTTATTGAAAAGCCTACATAAATAGATGAAGTTTTATTTAACCACATCAGAACGCTTCTATATGGGCTTCATTAGTTGTACGTAGCACATCTACATGATTTTAGTTTCTGTGTTTTTTTGGGGTGGTGGGGGTGGTTGTTGTTTCGTTTTTTTTGCAAGACATTTTCTGTTTCCAGAAAATTCTTGTGCCAGACACGGATACTAATAATTAGTGGGTTTTTTTTTCATACTTTTTGCTACAATGGCGTGATTGCCCGATTTGGTCCCAAGGATACACATTGCGCTTTTTTTAACAATATTTTCATTTTCATTTAAACCCAGCAATCAATAAGCACTTTTACCATCTACATAAAAAGATCGAACTATATAAATGTTAAATCTTCAAGAATATTTCTTAAGCAAGCAAAGAAGTGTCTGTTGAGTGTTGGCTTGCGGTATACGTATGTCTTGAACCCATGCTCTGTTCAAGATATTAGTACATCCAGGAAGGCGAGTTTGTTGTTTTCTTTCTTTATCGCAGACTCTATCTATGATCTTATTGAGTTCACATGGTCTAGTAATAGCTGGACATGTTCCTGGTTTGGCCAGAGTATGGTGTCATCTACGTATCTCGGCCATAGGATTGGCTTTAGTGATGTGGATTCTAATAATTTTGCACATGTAAATAAATGAAGTTTTATTTACTCACATCAGAACCCCTCAGTACCGGCTTCATTAGTTGCACGTATCACATCTAGATGAGTTTAGTTTCTGTTATTTTATTTTTATTTTTTGCAAGACTCTTTCTGTTTCCAGAAAATTCTTGTGCCAGAAACAGATACTAGTAATTGGTGTTTTTTTCTCATACTTTTTCCTGCAACGGCGCTGGGCATGATTGCCCGATTTGGTCCCTATGAACAAGGACACACTTTGCGCTTTCTTTTAAAATATTTTCATTTATACCCAGCAATAAGCACTTTTAACGTCTACCTGAAATGACAAACAAAATTAGAAAAAGATCAAACTATATAAAAATTTAATCTGTAATAATACTTCTTAAACATGCAAAGAAGTGTATTTATAGACCTTAAATCTAATACATACAATAAACTGTGGAAGTTGTACATTTAATTTAAGGACACCATAAATACGTGTGGCTCCCCGTCCACCCTGGATACTTCCTGAGGGATTATCAGAGGGAGGAGAAGGGGGTTTTCTCCGTCGGAGTAGATGCTGTGGTTGTAGTATCTGTTCCGTGCCAGAGGCTTTCTCTCGTTACTTGCGTCCACCCATCCCCCGGCAACCGTTCCATAGCATCTGTTCCGTAGTGGTAATATGACCCGCTATGACTAGCTTAGACAAGGTCTAACTATCTTAGACAAGGTCTGACCAGCTAGGACCAGCTTAGACAAGCTTTGACTAGCTTAGACAATCTTTGACCAGCTTAGACCAGCGGCCCGAGTGGAAGCACTCGGGACCCCCCGTCAAAAACCGGCCTTGTATCACAACCTGTCTCAGTGGGGAGTTAAGGTAAATCTCAGATACTTATACAGTGAGACCCCGCCCATTCGCGGCTTCAGACATTCGCGGATATATATATTTTTTTTAGAACATATGTACTTGTTATTCGCGGAGACCCCTAATATTCGCGTGTTTTTCTGAAGAACATATGTACAAATTATTCGCTGAGAACTCCCTCGATTCGCGTATTTTTTCGATAGAACATACTATTATTTCTTACAGAAAGATATTTTGCTCTGACTTCCTCAGTTTGACCTTTCAGGTCAGATACATTACAAAACAAAGGAAGTCAATTTTGATTGGCCGAGCTAGCGTCGGAATGATGGAGATATAGAAAGGTTTTTCAATAAGTTGGGGTTTAACCGTCGAAAAATGTAGACGTGTTCATTGTCGTGTCTAGATCTGCTCCCCAGTGGGTTGAGAGAGAACCCCCACTGGATGTTTAGAAATGTACACCTCGACGTGTTTAATAAAATAGTTAAGTTTAAAATTCCCTGAGTTGAAGTTCTCTTCTACAAATAAAACAACTAGCGATCGCCGGCCGTGAAAGAAGAATGCAACTTTATTATGGTCGAATCAAGACCGTTGCATCAAGACCAACCCCACAAGAGGAAGATGCAACAAAATGTCCATTTCATGGTATTCTCAGCATCCTTCTGTAAAACCACAGTTCAGTTGCCCCAAGTCTCATCTGTAATGAGATTGTCCAACATTCAGAGCCATATGGGAGGACTGGTGGAGTAATGAACAGCGGCTCGGATTGAGGGATCGGAGATCCGAGTTCGAATTCCAGTAGAATCCATTACATTTACTTACGTGCTAATAAACTTGGGAAAGGTATGAATCCTTCTTCTCTCCCTACAGCTATGGGTAAATAGCAGGACAGACCGAGTTTTGTAGCCTTCGATGGCAACTTGTCTAGGAGGAGGCACGGTGGAGTAATGGATAGCGGCTAGCAGAAAATCAGAGAGGCGAGTTCGAATTCCGGTCGAATCCATTACATTCACTTAAGTGCTAATACCCTTGGAAAAGGTATGAATCCTCATCTTCACTTTCCAGTTATGGGCAAATAGCTGGATATACCAGGTTCTATAGCCTTGTATGGCAACTGGTCTCCCATATCACGCCGGTTCCTGTATGATCACTAAGTTAAGCAACGTTGAGCCTGGCCAGTAACTAGATGGGTGACCGCTTGAGAATACCACGCGCTATAAGCTTGGATGTGCCGTTGTTGCAATGAATAATGGCTCGGAATTGTTGATCGAAGAGCCGATATCATATTCACTTACACAGAAATACCCTTAGGAAAGGCATGAACTCCCCTCTTCTCCCTCTGCTATGAGTTGATTATTAAGACTTGTATCACAGAATCATTATTATCCCCCCACTTCGTATCTAAAAAATATTTCCTGGCTTAAAGTAACCTGCAAATCGAACTTCGAAAAAAAATCAATCAATCAATTCACATCTATCTATATAGAATGGATGTGCAGATGGTGAAATGGATAACGAATCGGAATGAGAAGCAAGGGAGCCGAGTTCCAATTCCAGTTGGGTTTGTTATATTTACTTGGGAAACGTATGAATTCACATCTTCTCCCCCAGGTTTATTAATAAAACTCGTATCAGTAAATCATTATTAGCTAAAAATGTCGACAACAGTGGTTCCCAACCGATTTGGGGCCATGCCCCACTTTGGTATTTCTAAAATTCTGGTGTCCCTCTGTAATACTTAATTCTTGCATATTCAAAATTTTACTGCAATTCACGTGAAGGAAGCTTAAAAGGCCACTAACTCGGTTTTAAACGAGACTACAAAAACCATGGCGTCCATGAAAGAGAAAAATTAAAACAAGAAAAAGACAGTTAAATATTTGGTTTGGTTTATTTTGTTTTATGGCATATCAACCTCAATGGTTCATTTAATGCAGACAACATTTTTTATTGCTGGTAATATTTCGTTTTGTCAAAAATCTGTTTCTGGTAATTTTTTTCCTTCAAAATTGCATTGCTGGTAATAATTTTTTTTTTCAAAAAAGTATATCTGGTAATAGTTAACTATTTCCCCATAGCTGGAGCCCCAACAGGTGCCACCACCCTGGCTAAGGGTGGACCTGGGAATACCAGCAGTTAAGAGGTGGTTCCACGCTCCTCAAAGCCTACTGATCAGAGTCCTTGCTGTTGGACGTAGTTTATCGTCTTACCCAGGACGTGCATGTAGTTTAACGTCTTACCCAGGACGACAGTTAAATATATATTCTCAAAACATATAATAGAGAAATGAAAGGCAGAAATATAAAATATTTGAATGAAAGTTTATTCTCGAATATACTTTGATCATTTTACTCATGAAATAATGATACAAAATAAAATTTAAGCTCGCTAGAAAACAATTCACTGTTAATAACTCAGTCTCGAATTTCCTCCCTTATTCTGTTGGTATAGTAAGACGAAGTGTGCACATCCAACGCATGCCCCCAGCAAAATATTACGATACCCCACCGGTGGAGGAT